TACCCAGGTTCTAGGGAGGCATAAACGAGTTGCCATGACTACAATGGAGGATGTAGCCAACCTCCGTATTCATCCTCCTGCCATGATCTCTACGAGGACAGGAGTTTTGCTCTCTCATTGCTGTGCCTCAGCACAGTGCAGGATGTAGGCATCATCAGGCAATGACTATGAGGAGTGGGGAAAGGCTCCTGGACCAACAGCATGGTTCATTGGCCTGGGGTGTCTGCTCCCTGATTCTGGGATCTGAGTTCAATCCTGGAATCCACATGGTAGAAAGTGAGAGGAAACCTCTGGAAGGAGTTGTCCTTTGACTTTCACATGTGTGCCAATGGCACACACACATATACACACACACACTCACACACACACACATACACAACACACTCACACACACATATACATATTCACATACACACACTCTCACACACACACTCTCACACATACACATACACACACACATACACATACACACACTCACACACACACATACACACTCTCACACATACACTCACACACACACACATACTCACACACACATACACACACACATACACATACTCACACATACACTCACACACACATACACACACACATACACACATACACACTCTCACACATACACTCTCTCTCTCTCTCTCTCTCTCTCTCTCTCTCTCACACACACACACACACAATAATTATTTTCAAAAGTGCCTGCTAGAAGAGTTTGATAAGGCTTCAGTGGAGAGGAAATCACTGTTTAAAACATGTTGGTTTTGGATTAGTAAGTATTCTCCAACAGAGAAAATTGTCTGGCCTTTAAAACAGGGAGGTTATAGAGTCTACCCGCATGGAGTACAGTGCAGCAAGCAGGAGAAATGTAGATTGCCAAAGAGGCCAGCATGTCTTTGCTGGTGGGGGAGCTTCCCACCTCTCCAGGGAAGAGGCCAGCACGTCTTTGCTGGTGGGGGAGTTTCCCGTCTCTCCAGTGAAGGCTCCTTCTTGTGTTTGTTTGCTTTTGTGCTTCATCAAGGACCTCGTCTTGCCAAGGTTAATCAGTTAAGCTAGATTAGAAAGCCCACCCTATTTCTGGAGAACCGGAGTTTAGACACAAAAGGATAAAAATGTCTTATAATGAGGGCTCAGCACAAATAGGTATTAGCAGGGAAGGAAGAGATGGGGTAAGGATGTGATGTCTGTGTGTCCCATCCGAGGGACCACCAGGAAAAGAGGTACACTGAGGAAATGTCCTGTTGGGATTAGAATCAGCTTTGCAATGCGCAGCTCCCAGGTGTGCAGGAAATCACAGAAGGAAGCTCAAGAATGTGTGTTCGGAAAAGACTTTCACATTGACATTGCTCCTGGCAGGTAACCCTGTTGGGAAGACACCATCCTGTCTGTGTGTGCAGATCCCTGAGGCTGGGGCTGCTGGAGGGGCAGGAGCGGATGCAGCTCAGCTGCCTAGGTGCAGTTGTGGGAAGGAAATGAAGCTGTTTCATAATGATCAGAAAGAAACCATCAGCACCAGCGAGGCCCCTAATTGTGGCCGCAGGAGTGAATAGGAGAACAGGCAGATTCAGAGCAGAGAGAACCTAACAATGAAAATTAGATGAGCATTTAAAATGGAATTTTAGTGTCCTACAGCCGGAGAAGGCACACTGAAATAAACACATACACATGCACGCACACACACATGAAATACTAATGAATAGTAACATTAACCTTAAGCTTGAGAAGCAATGACTTTCCCTATTGTAAGATTTCATAAACTTTAAAAAGCTAATATGCATTGCCGGGCTTCAGACTGGAATGCACCACACTTTTCTATGCTTTCTGGGCTTCAGATTCCTTTTTCACCCAAATTTAGGAGGACTGAGGCCCTGTGACATCCTCACTGAGAGCCGCGCTCCTCCACACTGCTCTGACTTTAGGGTCTGTACCCCTATGGCATCAGTCCTTATCAAGGAACTCCCCAGTAAGAGGCAGAGCTTCCTCCTGGCTTGCTAGCTAGGCAGTGCTCCTGTGGATGTGACAACTGTAGTCTGTGTACCCTCAGGAATACCAGACACATCTCCTTAAGGGAGGGCCCTCCTACCCCCAGTCCTGTGGATGTGACGACTGTAGTCTGTGCACCCTCGGGAATACCAGACACATCTCCTTAAGGGAGGGCCCTCCTACCCCCAGTCCTGTGGATGTGACGACTGTAGTCTGTGTACCCTCGGGAATACCAGACACATCTCCTTAAGGGAGGGCCCTCCTATACCCAGTCCTGTCACTGAACCTGGCCAATGTTTTCCACGTGTTGCCAGTGCAGTCTTCCCTCAAGAGTCATTTTATATCAGGCATGGTGGCACATAGCCACAGTCTCAGCATCCAAGAAATTGAGGCAAGAGGATCATGAATCCAAGGCCAGCCTTGGACTACAGAGCCAGACCCTGTCAGAAAACAAAAAGAAACAACGTGTACTTTAAAAATCATTTTGTAATTAACCCATGGCTTCTCACGTTCTTCCAAGTTGCCTGTCATATCTTCAGTTGTGGTGTAGAGGCCAGAACAGGTACCTACCTTTCAGGAAGGCCCCACTGGCTCCAGGGTGGCTGATGGAAAGGTCTGTGAGACTATTCCTGAGGAAAGTTATCAGTGGTGAGGCTTCTCTTCTGTCTTGAGGGGGACTGGTAAACTGAGGCAGGAGGCAAGTGCCCCATCCAGGCTGGTCCAGCCTAGGTTAGAGTTCTTATAAAGCACCCTTCTACTGTGTGTTATATGGTGGCTTCACTACGCTGACCTTTGGGTCAGGGACCAGCCTGGCTGTGCGCCCATGTGAGTATGACCATGCTAATGGCCAGAGCAAGAAGACCTGATGGCCTGCTAGTGTAATCTCTAGCAAACTTGGGGTGTGCAAAACTTTATTTCTTATTTCCTCAGGCTCTTGTGGTAGCCTAAAGTGTTCCCAGTTCACATATTAAAGGCTCTGAGGAAGACAACCACAGGTTTCTCTGTAAGGAGCCATTAGGAAGGGTGGTCAAGCTTCCTGAAAAGCCTGCAGGGCTGTTTCCTGATGCTATCCAAGCCTGAATGACCCACATCTGTGTCCCTAACTCTCACTTCTGAGTTCCCAGTCATTAACTACAGGGCACAGATTTAGTGGCAAGGGTGTTTTCCATCACGCAGTGCCCCTGGGGACCTACAGTGCTAATGCGTTCAGACTTGGCCTTCTGTATTTGGTTTGAATTGTGATGACAGGTTAGGATCCAGAACAGCAGAACTTGTAGTTGAAAAATTGATCCAGTCTCGCTAAAGTGACCTCTGATGCCTTTCGGTGGTAAAAATGTGTTTTTCTTATGAGGTAGGAACAGGAGGTCTCACCACAGGGACAGAACCCAAAGACCTCCGATTAAAGGTGATTTGTTTCTGATTTACAGGGGGAAAGGTGAGGTGGCAGTAGATGTCTCTGGGGCCGAAAATGAAAGGGACTAAAATCTAGGAAGCTCCTGTGCTGCAGCCGTATCTTCTTGTCTGAAAGGGGCCAAAGCTCCGTGTCAGATGGCGGCGCCCACCCAGCTTGGCGCCCACCCAGCTCTGCTGATCCTCAGGCGGCACCGTGCTTCAGGCAGCTGTGCTGGGCCCTGATGGCTCTGGTTCAGGATCCAGCTGGAAGCCTGCATTGCCAAGGCCACCCTGGTTGTCTCAGTGAGCAGAGAGCAACACACGGGTCTGAAAACAGTCCGTGCACAGTGAAGAACTGTGGGAGTGGGACACAGGACAGGATCAGGACACACAGGACAGGATCAGGACACACAGGAAAGGATCAGGACACACAGGACAGGATCAGGACACACAGGACAGTTCCCAGCCCTGCTGGAAACTCTCTAGGTGGTCTGCTATGTTAAATCCTTCCTTCCGGCCAGCCTCTGCTTCCTCCTCTGAAGGTGGACAGGGGGTGGGGGAGGTGGGAACTGGTCAGCAAGAGTCACATTAAAAACAAAATCTCTCAGAAAAAGTATAAGGAATTGTCTCAGCACTGAGGAAGGGTCCCCATTTCCTGGAATAGACAGTGTGATGGGTTTGTTCGATTATGTGTGTTTACGGTGAAACTCTGTTTCCTGGACTAGACAGTGTGACAGGTTTGTTCGACTGTGTTGTGTTCATGGTGAAACTCTGTTTCCTGGTCTAGACAGTGTGATGGGTTTGTTCAATTGTGTGTGTTCATGGTGAAACTCTGCTTTCTGGACTAGCCAGTATGATGGGTTTGTTCGATTGTGTGTGTTCATGGTGAATCTCTGGCACATTTGCTGAGTGCTGTGTGCTTGATTAGTTTCATCTGACTTGGAGAAATACTCATTTCTCAAAAGAGCCTGGTTGGAAAGGCGATGAAGCAACATGTCTATTTTATAGGTGAAGGTTCTGAGACTTCAGCTGCCTGTTGATCTAATCAAGGCTGTCGGTGGTAAATTAGAGAGTCAGGACTTGGATTGCATGTTAGGTTTGTTACTCATTACATTTACCAATGAGAGAGAAATCACCTGGTGATATGATAGATTTTCTAACTTAATGTCTAAATATCACACACCTGCATTTCCCACCAGTGTCCAGCCTACTTGAGGGAGAGCTCTCTAGAGGACAAGCTTGGTCCACTTTTTCTAAGCTTGTTTTCATCCTGCCAGAGCAAAATTGTTGGCTAGAGTTACTGAGTTTGGAAGATGATATTACGTCAAAGAATGGCCAGAGGGTTTAGTGGCCCCACCTTTCAGATTTCCCAGAACACCGGACAGGACCTCATGGAGAGCAACTACTAAGAGCTTGACTTGGCCAGGACTCAGGATTTGTACCTGTCCCCAGACCATCATGAGCAGCTGGTTTCTAAGGTGTCACTTCTGGTCTAAAGCCTGAGAACACCACCAGCTAACCCAGAGTGCTCTGTTTGTGCCTGTCACTGGCACCCCAGTTCTGGCCTCTGTTAGGACACAAAAGGTAGAAGGGAAAGAGGATCACCTTCTCACATCAGTCCTCTTGGCCCACAGACATCCAGGACCCAAAACCAGCTGTGTACCAGCTAAGAGATGCTCAGGCCAAGAACAGCACCATCTGCCTGTTCACCGACTTCGGTTCCCACGTCAACAAGTCAGAGGACGTGCCACCTGGTGTGTTTGTCTCCAACAACACCGTGCTGGACATGCGGTCTATGGATTCCAAGAGCAACGGGGCCATTGCCTGGAGTAACCACAGTAGTTTGAACTGTAAAGACGCCTTCAAACAGAACGCCGCCTACCCCAGCTCAGGTGAGTGCCACCTAAAGCCATCTCCTCGCTTCAGGAGAGGCCCAGCTCAAATCTGTGGTCTAAAAGCTGCTTTGGTCAGGTACTCATCAGTTGTCAGCAAGATCCACATTCTGTTTTATTCATGCCCTGTCCTAGCAGGCCACAAATGCCTGGCCCTAAAGCAGACAAGAGAATAGGACACAGGGTGTTGGCCCAGTATTGGCCTCAGTTGGTGTCCCTGTTTTGAATTCTCACCCACCTTCCTGTCATTGTTGGAACCACACTTGCCTTCTCTGTTCTCCCAGGCAGTTTCCATGCCCTTCCTGCCGCACAGCTGTCTGCCCTGATTTCTATGTCTGCCTAGAGTGTGTGTGCAGAGTCCCAGATGCTGGAGTGATATAAGATGTCAGATGTGGAGGGAGCACTCTAGGGAGCACCATTCTGATGCCCTGATTTCTATGTCTGCCTAGAGTGTGTGGGTGCAGAGTCCCAGATGCTGGAGTGATATAAGAGGTCAGATGTGGAGGGAGCACCCTAGGGAGCACCATTCTGATTCCCTGATTTCTGTGTCTCCCTAGAGTGTGTGGGTGCAGAGTCCCAGATGCTGGAGTGATGTAAGATGTCAGGTGTGGAGGGAGCACCCTAGGGAGCACCATTCTGATCAAGGAAGATCAGCTCTTGGCAGAGACATGTCCCCTATGTCGGGCTGTAATTAATATATTCGTTAACACAGAGTTAAGGAAACAGCTACCTCAGAGAAGGCTCTGAGGAAATGCGTTCACTCTGCAATGTAAAGGATAAAAGGGGACCAGCTGTGCCTCGGCCAGAGAGGACCCTGTGAAAGCTGTGAAAGAGAAAGGCTGAGAGCAAGGGAAAGCTGCAGGGCATGAGTAGGATGATGCAAACCAGGGCCAGACCTCAGGTGGAGGCAAGAGGATCACAAGTTCAAAGTCATCTTCGCCTACACAGCAAGTTCAGTTTAAGGCCAGCCTGGACTACCTGGGACGCTGTCTCCAAAAATAACTAAATACCATAAACTGTAAGGCTGGTTGCTGTGTGGAGGGCGGACTGTAGTAGATCCAGCAGGAGAACGGGAATGCAGGAGAGAGATGATGGAGGCTCTGCCAGGTGGTGGTGGGGACTTCAGGGGCCAACACTACTTGGGCTTCAAGAATAGCACCACACAAAGATAGGAAAGCAATGGGGCTTCAAGGAAGGAGCAGAGCTTCTGAGTCAATGGGACTAGATACTAAGGGATGACAAAGGAAAAAATTTGGGCACCAGAACTTCTTTGAAATACATGGAAATATATGGCCCTAGTCGCTGTGAATATGTCTCGCTGCCTTTACTGGTCTCTGGACTGAAACCTGCCACGTCCAGACTATTTTGACTCTGTGGTCCATGTAACGTAGCATAAACTTTCACAGCCTAGATATGTTGAAAGAATGAAAGAGTGTCCAGAAGTCGGGTGTTGCCCCCATTAGGACCTTTGTGCCAATTGGTGCCCCTGGGCAGTATATCCACTCCCCATTCTCTTCCAAAGAATCACATAAAAGTCTGCATGCTTTGACTCTAAGAAAATTGTTTTTTTTTTCTTTTAGATGTTCCCTGCGATGCCAAGTTGATAGAGAAAAGCTTTGAAACAGGTAAGAGAAGGACCTGCCCAATTTTGCATGATGCTGGAGGAAGCCACGAGCCCATAATAACCTTTAGTGCAAAGGGGAGGAGAAGGGATGAATCTAGGGATGAGAACAACACTTCCAAACCCACTCCCAGCTGCCCATGGTCTGTCTTGAGTCCCTCCAGCATGGTCAACTTGATTTTCCATTCTAAGTTCTTAGCAAGATGCGTCTTCAGCTTCACTAGGCCAGGGAGCCACTCCAGGCCTCTGCACCTCCTTTATTAGCTCCTCTGTAAGGACAGCCAAAGAAGCTGCTTACTGTGAGGCTGGGAAGTTGTGAGCCCCTTCAGAGCACCCTGACTAATCATGTCACTCTGAGAACACTGTCCCTCGATGTCTTGGGAAGCTTTGCTAAAAAGTGGTAGAACCCACACAGCCTCAGGTTTGTCTTGTCTCAGGGCCACCTCATTCCTGAGTTGTTGCTCCTGTGGTGTCACTGAGGGGCCCAGGCCCACGGGGTGTGACAGTCGCCCTGAGCACCTACCCCAGCCCCATCCCAGAGCCTACAGGGCCTCAGAGTATTATGTGGCCCAAGTCCTTTGGTGGTTGTTGCCTTAAAACATGATGCTCTCGCCCTGGAGGAATACACAAATCCCTTTGCCCTGGGATGTGTGCAGAGGCTCAAAGAAATGGACCAGGGAGCTGAAGTCACCCACACCAGCCTGACCAGCTCTTGGGAAAGTCCGTAGCGCCTTGCTGTACAGACCTCTTGAGCACATACCCTTAACGGCTATGACTTCTTGGTTTCCCAGATATGAACCTCAACTTTCAAAACCTGTCAGTGATGGGACTCCGAATCCTGCTCCTGAAAGTGGCCGGATTTAACCTGCTCATGACGCTGCGGCTGTGGTCCAGTTGAGGTGAGACAGCATCAAAGCTTGGAGAAGGGGTGGGGGTGGGGGGTTCAGAGTAAGACCCATCCCTGAGAGCAAATCCCCCCATGGGAATTTGCTTTTGAATCCTAAGACTAGACTATGGGCAGAACTCTTCTGTCACTTCCTGTCAGGCCGCTGTTGTGATGGCCTGAAGGGAGTTTACCAGAATCCTCAGCGGGGCCCCGCCCCTCCTGAGGCAGATGAGGAACAGCTCTGATCATCCTTATTTAAAAATGGAGAAAGTGAGGCCGGGTCACACCAAAGGCCACGTGGCCGATGAGTAGAGGAGAGATTCCCATTCCTCTGATGCTTGTGTACCTCGTGCCTCCCTCAGCTTGGTGCTGGAAGATGCCATATTCATTATCCCTAAGCCTGGCTAGAGTCCTCACACTTCTACCCTGACAAGGTTCCCAGTCACTTTGCACAGCCCCAAACACAGCCTTCCCCATGGCATCCCTGAGTCCTAGTCTTCAAGACCAAGCCTGACCTCTGCTCTTCCTCACTCCAGGTTTCCAGACTGAAGGAGGCTGAACTCCCAAGCTCCTTTCTCTTCATCACCCCTCCTCGCCCTCTTCAAGCGGAAAAAGAGCCCGCCCACCTCCTAAAGAAGGCTCTGAGCAGCTCACAACCCCATCAACTGGATCTCCTGAATCTGTGATGGAGACTGAAGAGCCGCTGCTACCCCACTTCCTCACTGCTGCCGCCCACACAAGACAGGCAGGGGCTGCTGCTTCTCCTGGATGTGAAGACCCTTCATACACACCCCTGCTCTCCCCCACCCCCACCCCGCGACTGCAGTTCCTCGTGAATGTTGTAAAGAGCATGTTTTTGTTTTTGCTTCTTTTAAAGCATCCATAAAGAAATACACATTACTCTTTCCTCAAGGCGTAGAAAACTTAACTCCTTGTCTAGACCCTCCCTGCTCCTGTGTGTGTGAGCTGTACATCGCTCTGCTGTGTATGGCTTCATTAAAGATGACTCAGAAGAGCAGAAACTGTGACCTCATTTGACTGGGTTTGGTGGGGACATTTTCACACTGCTTATCACCAGCTAGGCAGAGAGAAACCGAAGTGTGTGTGTCACACTGCCCAACCTCTTCTCGGGATGAACTCTTAAAAATTTCACCAAGTAATCTGTACCAAGAGCCAGGAAGGTGTGGGTCCCAGCTCATACCATGCCTTAGGTCACTCATAACATATAGCTGAAATTTACCAGACAATGATGACAAGTGTCCCCAATATTGTCACCCCTGGCTCCTGCTCTCCAGGGACATTTTTTTTCTTTTTTTTTCTTTCATGCTCAGAGTGTCTTGTTACTGAGAAGTGTTTCACCCTATAAATCGATGGCTGGGACTTGGCCAAGGAGAGTAGATGTCCCAAATGCTCACCTCTAGCATAAGTGAGAGTCCCTGGGCCTCAGAGCACCCAACTCTCTGCCCAGCCTCTGCTGTCAGTCCTCCCCAAGGGCGGGATTCTGACTGGAATACACTCCAGAGACAAACGGACAACTGCCTGTCCAAGACCAAAAAGGAGTACTTCCTGATTCCCAGGACTGCCCCGCCACCACCCAGTCCTTCCACGATTCGGCCGTATGTCTACTATGACCATGCTAGCCAGAAATAGGCAGATCCTCCCAGCTGTAACCCAGGCCTGCCTCTTCTCATAGGGATGGGGCTACCAGCTTGAATAGGTGATGGAAGGCTTGTCTCTCCCTTCTATGAGCTTCAGGGTCACCACCTATGTAGGGTCAGGTGGGACTGGAGGCCACCTACAGCAAAGCCCATGTCCCAGAGTAACCACAGAATCTCTTTATTCTAAACTGCTTCATTGCTAGCCTACACAGAAGCCTTTCAAGATTACAAAATGGAAAGGCCGCAGGAGACACCATCGTGACAGGGCCACCCTCACACGTGGAGGAGGGGCACTGAAGCCTCTTCCCCAAGCCCCTCCTCATCTGTCTGACACAATGCCAGGGAACTACCACTGGGAATTTCTTTTAATTAAACCATTGTCTTCCCAGTATTAAATGAAAATGCCCCTGGGAAGGTTAGTAGAGCAAGCCTTTATCAACCATTAAAAACTTAGGGCAAATTAGTTTTTGTCCCTCCTCCAGGAAGCAGTAATTCACTTTGTTCTTATAAAAAGAAAAAAGAAAGATCCAGGCAAAGAAAGTATGGGGGCTGGGGAGTAGGAGCGCTCCTAGAAATTGGCTATAGCTATACAGAAGCTGCAGGGGACCTGGTGAATATGGAGTGGGCAAAAAGCCTGGAAGGCAACAGAGCAGCCAAAGACAGACCCCCTCCTCTAGACTTGAAAGAGGCCCAGGCCTCTACTGGACCACACTAGCCCAGTGCCATCAGACAGCAACATCCAGAGGCCACTAGAAGCCTAGGGTTGCTTGAGAACCATGTTGAGGGGATGTGGCAGGCGCTGAAGATCCACCCACACCCCTGGAGTAAGGTTTCTTCCTTCCAGGCCCAACCCAAGCTAGGCTGTGACAAAGCCCCGGCAGGCAGGAGGCCATCAAGAGATCCATGTCAACTTCACTCCCTGAAAAATGGCCATCTTATCAGAACACAAACATCCCCTCACTGCTGGGGCTGTCTCCACAGGGGCTGAACTAGTGCTGGGAAAAGGCAAGAGGCTCCTTCATGGCGGGTTCTAGGCCGACCACTGCTTAGTCCAGAAAGAAGGGGTTACTGAGGAAACCTGAAAACATGACAAAGAGACAGTGGTCACAAAGCTGTTGCTGCATCCTAACCAGCCTGGACCAATTCACTGAGGGAAGGCACCCATCTGCAGCAAACAATTTGCCAGGGCCAGTTGTAAGATGGATGCCTCCAGGGTCTAGACAAAGGCCCTGCTCCCTCAAGGGAGTCATGTAGACCAACTCTGGCAGTAGAAAACTGGACCTGGACCCCCTTGTCCCAAGGCCAGAACGTGGAGGGTGTTCTGAGACTTCCCCAGAGGTTTGTCCACCCCCTCCCAGTGCAGCTGGGGTCACGGTTGAGCCAGACAGGAAGCAGACAGGCTGCACAGGCCTGTATTAGGGAGCATCCAGGTAGGAGCTCCACTCTGACCACCCCGCAGCTGTCTGGGGCTTAAAGCTTTGTTTCTCATTTTGCTTTGGGGTACACCATAGAGTTCAACTCCCAAGTCTCATGTGAAACCCTGACACCACTTCCCTATCAGGTGACATCCTGGGGGGAAGTGTGCCGGACAGTGTCTGCTACTGGGGTGGGAGGAGCACCTTGCTCATGGGTATGTCCTCATAGCGCAGTACCTGGCGCCCGACAGACACCAACAAATGAACTCATGAGTACCTCCACACTTAGTCCTGGGGGGGAACTGAGCTCCAGAGGGAAGAAGGGGAGGGACTAATAGAGGACGTGGCTGGGTGAGCCACCGCCATTTGCAAGGTGTAGAGTAAGCTGGCAAATCTATCAGAATAATGAAAACTTGAGTGGTGGCCTCTTGAGGAGGGCACTCCGTGCAAGCACTCACAGGCCCACTGAATCCTGGTAAACACGGGTTTCTAAACGTCTCAGCTCTGGTTGTACGGGACCACTGACGTCCCAGGGCCAAAAAGTCACCTGGTGTCCACTTCAGCTTCTCCTGTGACCCATACTAGTCCCCTCAAACCTACTTCCCTCAAGTAACACGTGGGAAGAATGGCTTTGGGCTTACTCAGTACAAGAGGGGAAGCTATGTCCAGCCCACCCTGCCCTGGTCGGGATGTGAAGGCTGCCTCTGCCCACAGACAGCCAAGGCTGGGTCTCCAAAGGATCCTTCCAGAGTGAGTGTGAGAGAGACTGTCAAATAAGGTGACTCTTGCTAGTGCATACGCTGGGCAGTCTGAAGAACCACTAGCCCCTGCGTTGTGGACGGCCACATGAGCCGCACCGCCAGCTTCGGGCCTCTTCACACAGACTCGTAAGGCACAGGATCTTCTCCAAGAATCACAGACAGCTGCACCCTGAAATGGCAAGCTGGTCAGATACTGAATCAATAGCCAAAAGTAGAACAGGAAATGGAAAGAGCTTCCCACTTTCCTCCAGGTGTTTGGGGGCTGAACAGCCCCCTCCCATTTCCGTGACATCATGGTTGCTGACAGGGGCAAACAGGGCACCCTTTGAAGCTCTCCGCAGAAGCCACATCCTCTGGAAAGAGGAGTTAAAAATACAGAGTTGGAGATAGCATCTCTCCAGGCCACGTGCCCAGAAGAGGGAGGCTGGGCCGTTAGACCGCAGCCCAACCACAGGTGCAGAAAAGAAGGCCACCAAGCACACTGGGAGGGGCTTGCAGGCCCTGGTGCTAACACCCATGCCCGACAGCCGGCTGGGGAGGCACTGCTGCTCCATTCCCCAGAAATCACCCCCCCCACACCGACCTCTACTGCCCTGAAATTAGACCGTTCTGTATACTTAGTTCAAGGGAGAAAGCCTATTCCCGCCCACCTTGCCCTGGACAGGATGCGAAGGCTGCATCTGCCCCCACACACCCCTAAGGCTGGTTTCCCAAAGGTACCATCTGCAAGAAGCCCCATACTCTCTCGTTCCCACTCCAGACTGATCCTTAAATGTCATAGCCCTGGTGGACATCTGTCTTTCAGGGTCCAAGGAAGTCACAGAACCTGGGACCTGCAAAGCTTCAGTCTTGGGTACCCCGCTGTTGTAGTATCGCAAGATACCCACACGGGGGCGGCAGTGCTCCACCAAAATGCAGGTTTCTCCCGTTTTCTGTTTTTATCTGGATAAGGAAAATCCCCACAGCCTAGGAAAAACTCTTTCCAAGGGAAAATAAAATGGCAGGTGACTTCCGTTTCACAAGCTCCTGCCTTGTGTCAGTCACTGCACCGGACTCCAGACTCGTGAGATCCCGCTACCCCGTGGAGAGCCTAGGGCCAGGCCCTCAGGCAGCAGGGGGCACTGCCTGCCCAGGTTTTTGAGACCCACCTACAAGAGGCGCCCAGAGAGAAGCCACCCTGCCTGAAGCCAGGAGGGCACAGTAGATGGAATGACTATGGGAACCTGGCTGGCCCAGGATCTGTGGCTTCACTCCTCCTAATCTATGAAGGCACCGCCTCAGTTTCCCACTTTGTACCAACATTGTCTCTTAGGTAGTTTAGGAACCAAGGCTTTCTTCACACGGGATACCTGTCAGAGAGCAGACACTGTGCCAGGTTTCAGGGACTCTGAGACTCTATACAGATAAAGTTGAAGAACAGACTAAAGGGATAGCCCAGGCCAGGCACTCACACAGGCGGAGTCCAGAGAGGAAGGAGTGGTGGGAATGGAGCGCACGGGTTTGGAATTCAGGGCTGCTGGTCTGGAATCTGGATGGCGCCTGTCAAAACACATGGAGCCGAAAACCCTCAGTTTACCGCATTCCATTGTGCATAAGTGAAACGCAGAGCGCCTGAAGCCAAGGAGCAAATGGTCCAGGCAGAACGTGAGCGACGCCAGTGGCCGGAATTCCATGGCTTCTGTCAATATCTCACTGGCATCCCCAGCAGGCAGGGGTTGCTCTGTCAGCTTCGCTGTCCTTCCTTCCTGGGGCTTTTATCTTTTCTCTGTCCCAGTTTCTCATATTCACTTGGAGACAGAAGCGCATGCCCACCTACTCCTCACTGTTGCCGACGGGGCTGTAAGAGGTAATGGCTGTGCTAATGCCTGGTGAACTGAAATCCCAAGACAGACGGAAAGCAGTGGCAAGTCAGAATGAGCAGGGGGATGGACCATAATCCTGCATGCCAGATGCGCCCATGCTCCCCCATGCTGAGATAAAAGCAGGCTGCCGCTTAAAAACATCCATGCCCAGGTATGCTTGGACTCATGGAGTCCCCACTCAGCAGACGGCCACTTCTCCCATTACCGTGACCCCAGCAGCTTCTCACTGCCACACAGGTTTGTCCTTCCAGGGCTTCCAGGTCTCAGGAAGTCATGATGGAGAAATTTCAGGACCACGAGGAGGCCCC